CGTGAGAGGCGGCGCGGTCGGAGGGGGGGAGTTTGATGGGTTTAGGGCGGCGGGAGGGGAGGGGAGGGGGTGGGGGTTCAGTAGAGCGGCGGCGAGGGTTGGAGCAGGCGGAGCGGAGGACGCGGCCGTGGGCTGTTGGGCTTTATTTTCTCGGTTCTGCTGGGCTTTATTTGTAGTGGCGCCTTCATCAAATACCTAAAAGACAGATTACTCAAAATCCACAGAGAATGGGATATAAGTTTGGTCATGTGGCTGGCCAAGCCACACATGACGCCCTGGGAGTAAAGACAAAGCATATTTAGCTAACTTGTGGGCTTTGGCATTCGCCGCACGACCTTCAAAAATAAACTTGCTAGTGGGTGGAACTCTATGTCTAATCTCTCTGATTACAGCACCATATGCTCCTTGGCTTTCCTTGGCTAGATCGTCAACAACTTGCTTGCAATCGGATGCCACGATGTAGTTATGTTGGTTGAGGTCTTCTGCCAACGCCACGGCTTCGCGACATGCTATGGCTTCCAGCGTTGGTGCATCCCGTACACCTGCAATGACGAGCGCTGAGCTGCCCAAGTAAAGACCCTGGCTATCTCTGCATATAGCAACTGCTGACCCTCCTCTCTCCGACCGGGTGCCCGCATCTACATGGATCTTTGCATTGTTTGCCGGGGGTGCCCTCGGTCTCGCTGCCCTAGTGTTCCCAGTCGTGGTCCGACTATGTTTCTTGGGCTTTCTAAGCACATCAAGATCTTTAATGTACCTAGTTACGAAGGTCGATATTGCATGTGGAGTCTGAAAAATTCCTTCATGTATAGCTTTCCTCCTAGATGTCCAGACAGCCCAAAGCGTCACTGCCACCAAGGTGAACTGCTCGTGCGAGAGGGACCCCAGCAGATTGAAGAGCCAGCTCTTGGCCCGGTTCTCACTTGTAGCAACAATGTCGCAGCCTAACTCCTCGTCCAGAAGCGCCCAAGTACATCTCGAGACAGTACACTCAAGCAAAGAGTGTCGCCAGGAGTCCGGAGCGCCGCAAAATCCACATGTGCTCGTCGTCGACATATTCCGGTGTGCCCTCACATCTTCAGTTGGTAGTGATTGTTTCGCAAGCCGCCATAAAACATTCGAACCTTCGAAGGCACCTCCGTCTTCCAGAGAGACTTCCAAGAGCTGGACTCCGCATGCGAAGATGAGGATCCCGATGCACCATATAACCAAGCTTCTCTTCGCTGCATCGTCGCCACGAGCATATTGTATGCTGACCGCACAGTAAACTGGCCCGAGCGCTCGTGAGCCCAGCCCCAGAAGTTGTGCATGGGTGTTGTGGGCAACGGTATATTGAGTCTTAATTTAGCGTCAAAAGCAAGGAATGTGGAGTTGATCAATGTCCTGTTCCATGTTGCATTTGTGTGATCTATCAGTTCCGAAACCGTGACTGGTGGTGCCGCTGCTAGAGATCCATATGGTCTCATCATCTCTGGATGTGGGAGCCAGTTTTCTGTCCAAATGTCCGTGCTCTCTCCATTGCCAATGCGCTTGATTAAGCCCAACTTTAAGATATCACGCCCCTCCACTAGGGCTCTCCAGACCTGACTCGGGTGACTCCCAAGTGAAGCTTCAAGGATACTGGAATTTGGGAAATAAACACTCTTCAATATACGCGCACTGAGGGAGTCGGGATCCTGTAACATACGCCAAACCTGACGAGCCAACATAGCAAGATTAAACAGCTCGAAATCCTTAAAGCCAAGGCCTCCCATGCTTTTTGGTTGAGTCATAGCCTGCCAGGAGACCCAATGTGGTTTGCGCTGGCCGTTCTTGCTTCCCCACCAAAACTTCCTGATCAACGTGTTCAGATGCTCGCAAAGGCCCCTTGGCAATTTGAACCATGACATGGAGAAGACAGGTATTGCTTGAGCCACCGCTTTGACCAAAACCTCCTTGCCCGCAGAGGACATCGTCCTCTCAACCCAGCCTTGAATCTTATTCCACAATCTGTCCTTCAAATATTTGAACACGCCATTTTTTGAGGCTCCCACATCTGTGGGCATACCTAAGTATTTCTCATTCAAGGTTTCGTTAGGGACGTTCAAGATATTCTTAATGTCATTGCGAACCACCTCGGGGACACCTTTACTGAAGAAAATAGATGACTTGTCAAAATTTATCCGCTGACCTGTGGCCGTGCAGTAAATATCCAGGACTTGGTTCACCTCGGTAGCCCCCACACCGTTAGCCTTGAAGAACAGCAGGCTGTCATCAGCGAATAATAAGTGGTTAACTAGTGGCGCCGTAGGTGCCACTTGGATCCCACCTAGGTTGGATGACTCTCTTTGTGATTTTAACAGGCACGAAAGGCCCTCTGCTGCTAACAAGAACAAGTATGGAGATATCGGGTCCCCTTGTCGAATACCACGTGACGGACTAAACTCCTCAAGCCTTTTACCATTGAACAAGACAGAAAATTTCACTGAAGATACCATGCTCATAACAATGTCCACCCACCTGGGAGTGAAACCCAGCTTCAACATTATTGCCTGGAGATAGGGCCATTCAACTCTGTCATAGGCCTTCATCATGTCTAACTTGAGGGCACAGGACTGGTGTTTTTTGGCTTTGTTCCTTTTCATAAAATGCAAGCACTCATAAGCTGTTATGATGTTATCTGTGATCAATCTGCCTGGAACAAAAGCTGACTGCTCTGGTGAGATAATATGAGGAAGTATTTGCTTGAGTCGGTTGGATATTACCTTGGACGCGATCTTGTAGAGGACATTGCACAGACTGATCGGTCTGAATTGTTTGAGGAGAGTAGGGTTTTTACCTTGGGAATGAGGACCAAGATTGTGTCATTGATGCAAGCTGCCGACTCATTACCCTCTACTATTTTAAGGACTACTTTCGTGACCTCTTCTCCACATACTTCCCAGTGGCGCTGAAAGAAGTGAGCTGGGTATCCATCCGAACCAGGGGCCTTAATTGGGAACATTTGAAACAAAGCGCACTTGACCTCCTCATGGGTATATGGAGCATTTAGGAGAGCATTCATATCAGGTGTTACCTTGGTTGGGACGTGTCGGAGAACTTCCTCTATATTGTGCACCCCTTCTGACGTGTACAAGTTTTTATAATACGCCGTTGTCATCTCCTCCAACCCGGTTGGGTCCTCAATCACTTGCCCCTACTCATCATGCAATGATTTGATTTGATTTTTGCGTCGCCTTCTACTTGCACGTAGGTGGAAGAAGTAGGTATTTTTGTCTCCATGGACTAGCCATTCCACACGCGCTCTCTGGCGCAAGAGCATTTCCTCGCGATGAAAGAGCTCCACCAGTCTGTCAACAATTTCCGTTTCTTCCCTGGTGGGACTGGATCTACCTGGGATAGCTCGCAGAAGTTGTAGTTGTACTTTAAGCTCTGATATTTGCTGTCGAACCGAGCCAAAACTCTGCCGATCCCAAGCTGAGAGGTCGCCCGCCAAGTCTCCCAGCTTTTCATGCAAAGATTGCACGCTCCCTCCATCTTGCATGCTCCACCTGCCCGCTATAGTGGTAAAGAGAGATTCCTCTCGCTCCCACATGGTCTCATACTTAAATGGTTTGGGACCCGCCCTGCATGCATGCATGTTACGTAGCGTGAGAAGGATCGGAATGTGGTCGGAGCCGGCTGCCGTTTTATGATGCAAAGTAGAAGCTGGCAACGCCAACAGCCACTCCGGATTGGCCAGACATCTATCAGCCGAACGGGAGTATATGTGCCTCCAATAACCTTTTTTCGAATGTCCAGGTTGTGCCCGTGTACCCTATGTCAGACAATCCACAAGTATCAACCGCCTCACGAAACCCATCGATCTGAGCTTGGCTCCGACTGCCAACGCCATCATGTTCGCTTAGGTTCAGAACCTCGTTGAAGTCACCAATAACCGCCCATGGCCTGTTTTGTGCCTCCGCTATGTTTTTCAGGGTGTTCCAAGTGTTTTGCCTGTTGGGTACCTGCGCATCGCCATAGACAAAAGTGACTCTGACCTGCATGTCCACCAAGTTGTCAACTAGAGCATCAATATGGTACCTTGAGTAACCAATTATTTCCGCTTTTATTTCATCATTCCAAAAAATACAAAGACCACCGCTTCGTCCAGAACTACTCACTGCAAAACTTTTATTAAATCCTAATCCTTTC